GCTGCCTCCTTCTTGCAGGTACTGATCTGGGAACCTGGTAGGTGCAGGTCTCTTGGTCCTTTCTGTTCCTTAAGTTTAACTCTTCTCTTGCAGCCCCAGTTAGAAGCTCGTGTGAGAGACATTGCCATAGCAACCAGGAACACAAAAAAGAACAAAAGCCTGTACAGGAACATTCTCATGTACGGTCCCCCTGGCACTGGGAAGACGCTCTTTGCCAAGGTAAAAACCCTGCCAGGGTCGTGCCAACCTGCATCTTGCAAGGTGCTCAGAAAACCTCAGGGGCTGAGCACCCTCCCTGGGCTGAAACCTCTTGCTGGAGTATTGCTCAACATTGTGTTCCTGTGTTGGGAAGGGAGGAAAGGGCAGCCAGGCTGCTCCAGCTCTGAATTACTGCAGTCACTTGGGTTTAGTGCTGAGTGTAGGCAGGAGAGCCCTTCCATCTGGGAAAGGCACTTGGCAGCTGGGACTCGTGGAATCACAACAGCAGCCACCTCATGTCCACCTCTTTGATTTTATGCACTCATCTAAGGAGAGTCTTTCCTTTCTTTGCTTACAATCCCAGAGCAGAGACAGGCATGGCTTCACTGTGCATGTGCACTGCCAGGATGCTTTTTACATGGATTTGAGTCAGAATTTGCATTTTTCCTTGCTCTTCAGTGCTTGTCCACAAGATCTGAGGTTTCACAAACTTACTTTAACAGTGGCAGATTTGACATGCTGATGCAAGTTGGATTTTTTTTTCCTCTGTCAGTACATTAAACCCCTATCCCAAGAGTTTTCTGACAGCATGCCACCTAGTTTGGATTTTGAAAGCAGTAGAGATGGACAGAAGTGGAAAAAATAAACAATACACAAGTAAAAGTTGCCACTAAGTGACTAAAGTACTCCCTTCTCTAAGCATACTACCCTCTGCTAATAAGCACACTGATAGGAGTAAACTGGTTTTGTCTCCCTCATGTTCAGTGGCCTTGCAGTGAAAGGAACTCTCTGGTTTTGTTTCCTTCCAGAAATTAGCTGTGCACTCAGGCATGGATTATGCCATCATGACAGGAGGGGACGTGGCCCCCATGGGGCGGGAGGGGGTCACAGCCATGCACAAACTCTTTGACTGGGCCAACACCAGTAGGAGAGGGTAAGTACATGTTCCCCTGGGTCCTGAATCAGGTTCTTGCTCAAAAAACCTCACCACAGCAATTTAGTTGCTTTTACTGAACAGTGCTAGTGCACAGAGGAGGTAACACTGACCAAAGGTGACATCTGAAGTTTTCCTGGAGTGGGTGAATTCTTGCTGCTTGGTAATATTTAAAAGGCTGAAAGCTTTTGCTCTTCTGTTCCCTCAAACCCTCCTTGTTTACCTCAGATTTTCCAGATCAGTCATAACTGGATTGTCTGCTGATCTCACCAGGCAGGGGGGGAGATATTGCCCACTTGAAAGCTGGGACACATTTCTTTCAGGGTGATGAGTGTTCTGACAGAAGTAAGAAGATTTAGCACAAATGGAGGTGCAACCAGTTGTTTACACTCTCTGAATATTATCTTCCCTCCTCTCAGATTATAAACACTGATAGTGTTTACTTTTGAGTCTCAAGCAGAAGCAGTGAATTGAAAGAAATAAATGAGGATAAGGAGGAGACAGATGCTAAAGGCATTGGCATTAGGTGTAAAAGTCACAAGCTGTTGTGCCTTTAATAGCAAACTTCTATCTGCAAATAAGCATATTCATGTTGAGGCTAAATCTTGACTCCCTGATTTTGTAAGAGCATGGAGTTAATTTGCTCATCCTAATGCAAATGGATTTGTGCAGTGCAGAGGTAGCTAAGAAGTTGCTTGTCCAGCCAGGATGTTAAAATTCAATATAGAATTTTCAGTGGGTGTCAGTTTGGGTTTTGTGCTGTCTTGATCCCAGGTCTTCTGTAAAAGTGGCTAACCAGTGATTTATGTGTTCTCTGATTGCTTCAGATGGACATTATCTTGCAGTGTCTGTTTTAATCCTTGCTGCATTCGTCACCTAAATGTTTCTATTTCCTCTTAAACCGAAAAAAAAGCAGAGAAATGTCCTAAAGATTTAAATTTTTTAAGCTTCTCCTACCCTGAGGAGCTATAGAAGGGAAGGTGTAAGAATTTAAGGGAGCTTAGAAACAGAAGTTGGAAGAGATGTGAGGATACTCAGCTGGATGAAGACTGCTGGATGCTCCCACTAAAGAATTCTTTCACAGCACTGCCTGGGTCTGAATTTCTCTGCCCTGATAAAAACTTCTGTGCATTTGAACTTCATACACCTCAGATAGCCATCTTCTGAGAGTCCTGATCAAAGGTTACATGTGTCCACATCAATATTCTCACCTCCAGTAACACTGAAGGATTTAAGCAGGTTTTGCTCTGAATCTCCACCAGTTTTAGCTGTGAGTAATGTTGCCTTTATTAGCTGAAAGCTGTTGTGATAAAAGACACTTCTCTGTAGCTGAGAATATTTTCAGAGAAGCTGGGGTTGAGTAAAAGATGTTAATAGGCCCTGAAATCCCCTGGAAGAAAGCTGGGTTTGAAGCTTGGCAAGAAGGTAATACAAGCCGTGACAGCTTTATGAGCAGCTCGGT